CGATTGTGAATTTCTCGGACAGGCATAATTTTCCTATGTGACACAGTATCTTTTTTAGATAATACACTATACGTTTTCTCTCCCACTGGATATAGAATGCAAGTTTAAACAGATATAGTGAAAGGCCATTCTCTAGGTCGTAAAAGGTCGTTAGTTAATGACGTGAAACATTGTTGAACATTAGTGCGCTGTACACGTAAATATTTTTATTATAATTATAAACATCTTCCATTTTACTTGAGTATGAATTATCCCAGCTAAAGCCTGAACCTAACTTTTCAAACGCTTTTATATTAACAAGATACACTTCTCTTTTGTTATACTAACTTTTTGAAAATATTAACTCAGCATGGAAAACAAATACTAATAATAATGTAAAGTAAAGTACATAAATTTATGTATTTCAAAATTGATCATGAATTAATTGTCATTTAAGTGTGAAAGAGATTAGTTTACTATAAAAAAAAATGTAGGAAATGAAGTGGGAAACTTTTTCTAGGACACCCTGTATAAAATTAATCTATCTATTATAAAATTAATCCTATGTCTAAAAAGAATTGTGCTCACAAGTTAAGCAGGAACTTATTTGCCAACCCAACACACGTTTATATCCTATACAGGTTGTCCCAGAAAAAGTATTAGAGCCGAAATGATTCTGAGTGTTTCTGAATTTAACAATTTCCTTTGCCAAAATGAAAAATGAGGCATGGTTTTTGAATTATTAACGAAAAACACTGAGCAATGCGCGGCTTAGCCACGGCAGTGATGGCTCGGATCGTGACGCTCGGCCATTGGTCAGCGCGGCCTTACGCGCGTTCTCATTGGTCACTGCTTTTCGTTAATAATTCAAGAACCATTCTTCACTCTGCATTCTGCCAAAGGAAGTTATTGTTCAGAAATACTTACAGAATCACTTCTCTTCGGCTGTGACACGTTTTCTGAGACAGCCTGTATAGAAATGTTGAAAATAGATGGTCTCTAACGTTACATCACACGTCTGGAATCACGCGTGCACCGATTAAATAATTAACGAAATCGTCTTGCAGGTCTGATATCGCCAGGCGTGAGCGTGCCGATCGCCGTACCGGGTCAACCGGCACCGGACATGGCCGCACAGTATTGGTCCCCAAGGCTGCAGTGACCGTGGTGGTCATCGGTGTCGACATCCTCTCCGTAGGCTCGAGCTTCTTTGACTTACGTTAGTCTCAAAAACGTTAGATACAAGAGAACGCATGGAGAAGACGTTCGAATATCGATGAGGGACAGTTTTCCTTGGAATCGTTCAGGCGAGAAGAAAACGTTGAAAAAATCGAACGGTAAATCCGAATTCGACCGAACGTGCGGAGGACACGGAAACAAGCTAGCGATGAATAATTAGGAAGAAAATATACCAAGTAGACGTCCGGTGCAAAATCATGGAGAATGTTCCCTTCGCGCTAAACGAAATCCACCTGCGTGTACAATTAATAACGATCTTCATAGTTATGGTGAAACGTGACACGTGCAATCTTCTGATTTTATTATAATAATAATAATAAT